AGTGCGCCGTCGCTGCCGAGTGCACTGCCCTGCGCGAACCGCTGCTTGGCCTTGAGCGCCCGCGCGCGCTCGTTCTTCAGCCGCTCCTCATCCTTCAGCAGGTTCACCAGCTGTTTCGCCTTCTCGCGCACGTTCAGACCTGCATATACCTCACTCTATTACACTCGTGTCATCAACGTCGTTTTAGTGTAGCAGTTGTAAAAATTGTAACTTAAATCTGAATCCGTAATTTTTTACTTGAAAATAAACTTTTATTTATTCAGTTTTGATGCGTTGCCCTTATGAGAGGTTGCAACCTTCCGTTGTACTGAAATTATCATAATTATCAAAGCACGCGAAGGTCGACAGGTAACTTCACATAGATTGTAGTCATATTTAGTTAATTATTATTTAAAATAGGTTTACTATCGGTTATAACATAGTTACACGAGTTATAAGTCACGGTTATAAACTTAGATTTATTTTTTACTTGAACTTGACCAAAGTGCTAGCTGCTTCTGTAACTTTGCCTGCTTTATGGTGCGTAACATCGGGCAAGGTCGATGCCTCAGTTGTGCTCAATTTTCACACCACTATTAGCGCCTAATACAATTGGGAATTGCACAAAAATTGCAACTATTTTACGACCTACGTATAAATGAACCTTACGTGTATTATTGCTATTTCTAAAAATAATGGTTTGTCATAATAATTCTACAAAAAAAGTGTAGAAAAATCTATAAAAGCTATACATAAACTATTTCTATACATGGCAACAATTATCAATTCTGATCGCGTTTGTGTGCGTATATAACATCATTGTCTCTCCGTCTGTGTACGTGCTAATTGTCGCCTTGTAACAATTATAGCGGTTGCCAAGGCAACAAACAATGCCCACAATCGTCTGTTATCTTTCACACTTTGAATTAAAATTCAACTATCGCCGTGCATTACTTTCTAATTACGCTGGATTATGTAATTTTATAACACTGCAGAAGCTAACTTCGAACTTAGAATCGATTGACAAGACCCTAATAAAGACTGATAAGTGGCTTTTTGCTAGTTAAATCTTTTTTTAAATTTCGTCTATAGAATGTATTTTAAATGTCAAAAAAGGCTTACCTTGGTCTTTCCCCTCCTCCATATACTGGAAGTCTTTAAGCGTGTGTATTGCGAATATGTTTTCCTTGCATTGCATCGCGACCTTCTCGCTGCCCGTCTTTATGAGGTACTCCATGAGGACGAGCGCCTTGTAGACGTGCCGCCAGTTCTTGCCGTGGTCGTTGAGCCGCTTCCAAATCATCTGCATGATCTCGGTAAAGGCCATCACGTTGTACGTGAGGTCGGCGATCTCCGCCATGAGTGTGCTCGAAGGACCCCATGGGTCGTTCGAGGTTGCCTCGCGCACTTTAACCTGCAATACACAATAGTAACTGAAATTATTTCTTATATTAAGAGCCTTTCTATTCATCTCTAATGTTACAACTGGTTAAATAATAAAGTAATAACCCTATCTATTTAAATTTTACTAGCTGTTGCTCGTGACTTGGTCCGCGTGAAATTAAAAATTAATAAAAGAGCCTATGTTACTCACAGATAGGTTACCTTTCTAATGGGGAAAGAATTTTTAAAATCGGCCGAGTAGTTTTTACGTAAAACGAATACATACAAAAATCCAAAAATACAAATCTTTCCTCTTTACAATATTAGTATAGGTTTACTCTGACATGTTTACTTGCTGACTTTACATGTATGTATTTAATTTAATATAAAAATAAATCATATATTTGATAACGTTGTTTCTATTTGTAAAACCGCAAAACTAGAGGCAATCAGTTACTCGGTTTGCGTTGAGATGACGTCAGCGATTAACAAGTATTCTATATTCATACGAGGATAGTAACATTTGAAACTTATGTCATTAGCCTAGTTGATATTGGTGTCAATATTTTGCATACATTCATAAACATTGCCTTTATTTTTATGTCAAATTACATACATTTATAGGTAAGAAAAGGAAAGGAAGGAAATCCTAATTCAAGAACAGCAAACTTCGAACTACCTAAAGTCGAAAAGAGTTAAGTGTATTTAGAGACTGGTTATTCCCACGCGGTTTCGTCCGCATTAAAATATAAAAACTTTATTGTTAACATTTGTCAAATTCTTAATTGCAAATGTCAAAATTGCCAATACCATAATAACCTTGCTTTCTTAATGTTGGCAGCTTGTAGTTTATGGTCCCTTTGTCACATTATGTCTTTTTTCCAATTTTTTACCCCCCAGTTTTATAGCCTGAAAATATATAGCCTAAAGCGTGTCGTAAGTGTAGGGCTTTTTATTAAAGAAAGACTTATTCAAAAACATGATGTAATTGCTGACATCCTACGCCACGAAGTAGTGTGTGTTTACGCTTTACTATATTAGTATAGAAGTATAGATTAGGGTTGTATGTGTGGTAGTATCTTGCATGAAAGCGTGTCTATTAAGTCATGAATTAATATTCAAAAGATAATCAATAACATAGGAAGCTATCTCATCATGTCCACGTGACGCGCGGTGTCGCAGCGGAAGCGACGCGACAAGGAAGGAACACCACCGCCAGTATTTAGGGCGCGCGCACACAACCGCCGGAGCGGAATGCGCGCCGCAAGGTCAATGCCTCTTAACGGCTCGCCTCCTACCACCTAGGTTTTATAACTGTTCAGTTTATATAAAAACAAATATTATTGAAAAAAAGTTCTAGCATTTATTTATAAAAAGTAATGAAATGTTTTATCTTTTTATTTATTTCTAATTTATCGCAAATATTACGAAAAATCATATTGAATTTTTAACCAACGGTTATATTAACTATTTAGTTATAAACAATTATAATTGTATTTATCTAGTATTTAACTATATTATTTTACTAGTGTTGTTACAAGACCGAAAGATTGTGTTAAGTAGACACACTTAGGATGTTCAACAAACATCAGTGTGTAGACAGCTTTATCCGAACGCGTGTCACCTTATAAGTGCCGGTTTCGACTGTTCTTACACATATGGAATCATCGGAAGTAGAACATTTGGTTCATAAACACATGCTTTTCATAGCTCGTTCTTTTATCGAAAATACAAAAGTACTTGTGTATAAAAAGATCTTCATCTTTACGTTATCTCTTTGTGCAACGATTAAGGAAGCTTTATTTAAACATCACGTTGCGGAAAGTTCCTTCGGTTTTCCTACAAATAACCTTAGTATATTTAATTATGTAAACGTCACTTGGATACGGATTTCAAGTGCGATTATAAAGGAAGTCAATTGGTTCAGGAAGATCGGAACGGAAACACTGATACGTAAGAAAACATCAAACAATACAGGTGTAAAAGACCAACTTTCTTCTATTATTAACCCAATAAGTTTTTATGCCAACTATTAGCACTACGGTTTGTCTACACATGGACAGTCCAATCCGGTAATAATAACGAAGTAACGGCCCGAGCAGAGCTCCCTCGGGAGCCCTCGAGCCTAGTTACTCATAAAAGAGGTTTAGGCTAAGCGCCATCTGCGTTCGGCCACCTACAGCCCGGTGAATCTGTAAATGCCTCTTCAAGGCAAACAGTGACAACTCAGTCACAAAAAAAAACATGGACAGTTTGAACAGTTCTACTCTTTAGATAATATTTAGAACTAAGTCTGTAGAGTGTTTTATTCTGAAGGTTCTTAATACAAAGTGTGGGTATTCCACGTTGTATAGTCATGATGGTTACCTGGGCATCAGAGTAGTTGTGCGCAAGATTTTTAATATTCCTCCTTAGGCCCGCCACGTTTACTTGCATGTCGTCCCGGCCGCGGGGCATCTGCAACACAACACAACAGAATATTGACGACAAAGTTCTCATCAGATAGATAACCAAAAGTTATTAATACAGTATGCAAATTAGGTACAATCGGAGAATCTCGTAGTATCCCATCTTAACACTGTTTTGAACGTTGTGTAAACAGCGAGAGCGATAAATAATAGGACGCTGTATTTAAATGTGTCCGTACGAAAAGGTTGTTAATATGGTAAAAGCTTTTTATTATTATCCCGACTTTCACTCCCAGTGCAAGAAAAAAAAGATTAAGACCTCAGATTTACGCGACTGTACATTAAGTGTTTCCTGATTGCGGCATAACAGACTGTGCTTAACTAAATATACCCTTAGCAGTAAACGTCGACGCTTTAGCAAAGATTAAGAGAGTTGAGGTTGTGCCTGTGCCTTTTGTGTACAAAGCCGTCTCAGTATCGAAATTTGAACAAAGGAGCATTGGCCTGACACGGGCTTATTGTTTTGAATGTCGAAAGATAACAATGGACATATTTTTCGTACAACGCCACCGAGATATACAATGTCTTATCATATCTACAATTCGGTGCGCAGATTACATTTTTTATTCCATGCCATAAAACTATTTTAGAAAGAATTGAAGATAATTACTAGAACTTCAGACGGCTGAATGAATAAAATGCGCCATTTAAAGTTTGAGTAATGACCTCTCTATTCCATACATTATTATGGGTACGCAACACGCTCAGTTTTATCTAAACTGTGGGTTCGTTCAGTTACATCTAACGTGTGTAGCGGGCTTTACTCTTCTATAATACATATTCCATTCTCTAAAAAGATTGTTGCTATAGTTCAGAAAAACGGTTTTCATTGAATACAATATATTGTTAAAAAAACTTTCACAGTAATTTTTACATTTACAAAGTCCATTCGATTTGCTAACACAAGACTGTATGTAAACAATAAAACATGAATGACCGCTATATAGAAGCAATATAATTTTAGTTCTAACGCATCGCGGCGAATGTTGGCACATTTCGCAAACATCACGTGCCAAATTCCTAACCACTGTTAATATAAACAACAATTACATATATGCAATTTAAACGGAATGTCAAAAAAATTATGCTTCTACGTAATTATGTACAGGGTACAAATTATACAAATTAACAACTAAATTAATTATAAATTATTTACGATACAATTTGGCATTAGTAGCACAAAGGTTTCGACGAATGGATGGATGTTTGCTTCTAATTATTTTAAAAACACTTACTGAATTTTATTCATATTAATTTGGCAGAGATATTACACACTTAGTTTCTTTATTCCGCACAGACGATGTCGTGGGCAAAAGCTTGCAATGACAAACAAATCTTTAAACCCTACCAGAATTTCAAAGCCGTAGTTATAACGATACACAACCCCAAGTGGGCCATTAACTTCCCAACACACCCCTAACTC